GATGCAACCACTGGAATCATATTTGGCTACAGATGCTCATATTACTAGGCTTTGATGCCTCCTAGCATTTCAGGAACATAGAGCTCCATACAGTAGCTTTATATGAACAGAGCAACAACATATTTTACATTATAAAACTTGAGACACACTTGAGATTAGAGAGACTATGCAAAAATGTATTGTGTTGGGGTTTTTTTTGTTTTGTTCTTATCACACAAAGATTTTTCTGGGACATAAACAGAAAAAGCATTGTTACCGCTGCCAATCATTTTAGAAAAGCGATCAGAGAAAAGACAATGCTAAATTACAATTTGACAAACAAGCATTAGGCGTCGTCTGCAGCCCTCAGAGGTCCTGGCTTCCTGTGTGCATTAAACACGTGTAGAACAGCTCTAATTTGATCAAGATCGGCTCTTTATCTGACGCGGAACAACCCTGATTTTAACACACCGTGGAGGTGGAGATACATTCTGATGGGGGGCGGGGGGGGGGGACAATTCTGTTTTAGACTCTTTGATTTTTAAAAACAGAACAAAACAAAGTGTCCTTCGGGACTCAGGCCTCTAATCCTTTGCCACCCCCCTGCAGGCAAAACTCTTACCTCTGTGAGTGGAGTTTGGTCGAAGGTCTGAGATGATCTTCGGGGTTTGATTTAGAATGTGGAATTCAGTCCCGTTGAAGAAATACCATTGGCACGGAGGATTATGATTTCACTGAGAATTTGCACCATACTCTAGCTTAGGTGAGGTCGGAGGGAATTAGGAGGGTCATCAGACCACCCAAGCTGTTCTAAGATGCCTCCATGTGTGTTGAGGTGTGCAAAAGAGTTTTCTTTCTTTTCCATTGGTTGTTGACGTTCTTATGTCTGTAAATGGACCGAAGCTTGATTTCTTGTGGAGGCCGGCACCATAAATAACTAACCAGAGGGTGAAATTCGGTGTAGACAGCCAGCACAAGGCCTGTGCAGCATCTGAGCTGGTGTTTTGTCACCCAGGATGGAAAAAGATTTTTGGCCCCTTCCCTTCCCCCCACCCAAAAGGGGCAACAAAACAACTTGGCGGTGATTTGGCATCAGTAACGGGGTGGCTTGCCTCATGGGCTGGAGAGCCTGGGGATAAGTCAGTCCTGAATACAAGATGAACCCTACCTGAATGGGATCGAGTAATTCCCTATAAGCAGCAGCAGGTGGCTGCAATGAAGTGGGGGGATTCCTAGGGAAACAGAAGATGAAGGAGCTGCCGCTGGCTTGAAGAAGCAGCTGTTGGGAAGCCATTGAATTGTACTGGGGTTGGGTCAGAATGTGTTTAAGGAGTGAATACATACAGGGAGCTCCCAGGTGGGGGGTGTTTTCATTTTCTTTGGACTGTTGGTTGTTTAAGGAACCCTGAAGAAGGGGAACATAGAGGCAGGGCACTGCACAGCCCACCCCTGGCCACAAGGGGGCGCATGGGAGGCAGCCAAGACTATCAGTGATCCTAAATGCAAACGATTTAGGATTAATCAGACAAAATAGGGTGATGCGATGGCGGCCTCTGTGCCTTTACAAGAGGAGGGAGGTTTGCTCGTCAGCCTTCTGATGGAGTCTGCTGTGCTTTTTGGGGCCAGGTGACTTCAAATGTGTGGATCTAGTCCATAGAACGTCAGGGGTGAAACTGAGCTCAGGATTTTAACCAGCTTCAAGCCAACCGTCTCTTTCTCATTTGCTTCTGTGGGCCGTTTCCCTCATGTTCTCGAGGGGCCCAATCCAGTGCCTGGGCATCACTGCACTTGTCCCTTTCAAGGATACAACCTGCCTGCTAATATGAGTCCCCTCCTTGGCCGTAGCGGAGCTAATCCAGCCGCTCCTTGAGCAAGAGTGTTTGGAGCGAGGGCCCGTGTGATCTTTTCTATAGCTCTTCCTCCTCTGTTCTGGATCTCGCGTCCCCCTCTGCTCCAGACCTTCCTCGCTGCTTCTCACCTCTTCCATGGTATCCCTGGACAGAGGATCCAACCCACCAGGGGTTGGTTTGTGCCCCAGAACCATTATTAGCCACGCGGCCGCCTTGCTCTGCTTTGAACCAGATTCTCAGCTGGTGTTGCACTGGGCTTCAGTGGAGCTATACTGTTTGACATCAGCTGAAGAGCTGGAAATTCTTCTAAAGAAGAGCCATGACAGAGCCTGGACCATTCCAATTCTATTTCCAGCCTTGATTTTCCATTTTACAAGCTTTTTGCTATATCAGTGTGATATTTCCCCGTTTCCATGGGGTCGTTTCTTATTAAGCTTGCGTCTCCCCATAAAAGTGGTTTGTTTCAGAGGGTACAATCAGAAAGTCTGGCCCTCTTTCATTGTCATGTATTTGATTTGTTTTTTTCTCCCTTTAACTTCCATCACCTGGAGGTCAACGGATTGTTTAAATTAGATATCGTTATTGACCCGCTAGAACTCTGCCTCGTCTAGCAGAATCAATGCCTCTTTATTCCCAACTTGGTTAGCATTGGCTTTGCAGAGAAAGCATTTAGCCTTCTAAAGCAC